ATGCCCTCGACGATGAAACGGATGAAAAGTTCCCTTTGCGGACAATATGAATATTCTTTGCAATAAAGAAACCGTAAATAGTACAATATCAGATATTTTGAATTGGTTTCATAATCACAAATTAATAGTAAATGAAAAGAAAACTGTTTCAATGCAGTTTTCCGTTTCAAATAAACTCCTCAGCACTTCACTGAAAACGAACGGCGTGCAATTGACTGATGTTAAGGTAACAAAATTTTTAGGTCTTTCAATTCAGTCAAACCTTAAATGGAACGTACATTTAAATGAATTGAACACTAAATTATGTTCTTTATGCTATGGTTTCAGAATTCTTTCAAATTCAGTCAGCCTCCATACTGTTCGTTGTGTATATTTCGCGAATGTTCATTCCCGCCTGCGATATGGTATAATATTCTGGGGAAATATATTTTATAGCTCCCAGACTTTTAGATTACAAACATTACAAAAACCAATTGTACGAATAATAAGCAAATCCCAACCACGTGATTCTTGTAAGCCTCTCTTTATTAATCTAAGTAGTTTACCATTACCTTGTCTCTTCTTATGAATCAGAGGCTTTTGTCAAAAATTACTTAAGGGCGGGAAAATATTTTCAGCAAACGCTGTTGTCTATAACTACAACACTCGACGTAGTAATCACATTAATCAGGTAACAGTATCAACATCTCACTGCAAAAAATTCACATATAATACATGTACATTATTTTACAACACCTTGCCAGATGACATGAAACGATTAAATTCGGTACAAAAGTTTAAATCCCAAGTAAAATCTCTTCTGCTCACATCTGTTTCTATACAATTAGAGACTATTATCCAGCAGACCTAGCATCCAAAAGAAAAGAAGTATTAATTTTAACAATGACATTTAATGTATTATTTACCATTTGGATTGTATAATTCTAAAGAACCTGTAACAAGTATTGTACTTTAGCTTCTCTGTCAATGACCCCCATCTCGATCATATTTTCGTCGATCATATTTCGTATTATGAAACGAAAAAGAAAGTATTTTTTATGAGTATATCTATATCTTTTCAGTTAGGCGTTGTCGTAGATTTGCACATTTTCAAACAGACAATAGTTTCAGAAACCGTTGTTGAGATTATGGGCAGCGTTTTAGAAATTGCACGAATGGATTAAATTTACTCAATCCGAAGATCAAATGAACAAATAAATAATTAAGTGCTAGAAAAATACAAGTTTAATCAGGGGCGTAAGTTCCATAGAGACCAACAAGACCATGTTCGGGGGCCCCGAGGGTCTGGGGGCCCTGTGCTGTGTAAGTTCCCAAATTCAAAATGAAATAAGTCTTTTACAAACAATAATAATAATTATGTTATTGTTATAAATAATGAACAGCTTGGCGATGATGTTTCACAACATACCTTTCTGATTTCTTCTTTGAGCTGTCTTTCATTACATACGTAAATAATTATTGTTACGTTGCTGTTAATAAATCGATAAGACAGTTATAACTTCCCTCCACAACTGTAGTATTACAGTTTTGATTCTTAAGCACACTGGACAGAATCGTCAAAAGAAATGTTTTGTTTGCTCGCTCATGCCTCAATCCACCTCACCCCACCCACCTTGCACAGCGCGAAAATACTCTGGTGAGTGATCTGCGTACCTGCCCGCCTGAGCTCTTAAAAGGAAACACACACACACACACACACACACACACACACACACACACAGAAAGAAGTTGCAGTTTGTGACCTGACACTCACTTCCTCCTCTGCCGTGAAACGCTGTTACCAAATTACCAAAACAAGAACAGGTGCTACAAGTAATGGGTTGCGAGTTAAGCTAAAGATTCTAAAAGCATCGAGAGAAATGAATACGACAAAGCGATTAACAAACAAAGTAATGAATCTTACGTGTGGTTTTAAAAAATCAAAGTTCATTCAGAACAATGGTTGCATTTTGATATTGCCGAGGTTATAAAAAACAAGTCATTGATTTATCGAAACGTGGAGGTCAAGGATATGATGGTGCAGTAGTTATGAGTGGAATTTACAATGACGTTCAGAAAAAAAATAGATGAAGTTGGCAATGCAGTTTGTAGTTTGGGCATTGTGCTGCTCATATCAGATTATTATGCTTAAATTTGTCAGGAATGTGACATTTTAATTTTCAATATTGAACTGGTTGTTGGAACAAAGTTTTTTAGTCATACTATCAATCGGTGAAACATTATAAACCATGATGTATTTATATAAAAAGCGAAGGAATCTTACATTAAAACGACTTTTCCTACAACATGGTTGTTACGGAATGATCCCTTAATAACTATAAGATTAGGATACTTTAATACGTTCCAAACTTTAACAAAAAACATTTTTGACGAAATATCTTAAGCGAATGAAGCCTGTAACTTGAAAAAAGAAATGGAAAATTTTGAATTTGTTTTCCATGACACTACATTCCAAAATACACTATATCAAATATCACTGTTTCGAAATACCTTCAGAGCCTTGATTTGCATTTGCAAACAGTGCAGAATTTACTCAAGCAGAAGTGAGAGCGTACCTCCCGATAAGATGGTAAAAAGTCCCCTAAAATCAAAGACATGTGATTACTTTTTAATTAGGGTAGAAAGGTACTTTCTAATTTTAATTTTTTCGTCAATTAACACTGTTTTACGTGATTAATAAAAATATGAATATTTCGAAAATAATTTATACTATCAGAAAAACAAATTTATTGATATTTTTCAGGGCCAAATTCAAACGCAAAAAAATATTTTTGGAAAAAATAACAAAAAAATTATTTTATTGTCTTAGAATCTTGGACCAGGCTCGAAAATCTCAAAATTTTCTCTCAAAACACAAATACAGTGGCAATTTTCACAGTGATTCAACTACAAGTTTTGATAGCTCTTTCGGACTATGAAATTTACGACGCACAAAAACTTCAATCAAAATACCCTGCAGATGTTACAAAAAAGTTGCCTCAGTTATTGTCTTTGCGGATTTATTTACCGAGTCAAATTTCAAAACTAAGATCTGTTAATGATCTTACAAGTATTAATAATTTAATATTTCTCATTTTCACAAATTTTCCCGATGCTTGTAGAGTATTGAGACTATTTTTGTCGCTTCCTGCACCAGTCGCCAGCGCCGAAAGAGCGTTTTGAAAATTAAAGGTGATTACTAATATATTTACGAAGTATAATGGCACAAAACCATCTGAGTAATTCAAGTAATTTTATCAATTGAACACGAAGAAAAATAATACTTCTACTGTCATTGATACATTTGTAAACCTGAAGAAAAGATTACAAAATAAATTTTACATAACTTCATGAAATTGCAAACATGATAATTTATTTTCTGTAATAATTTATTTCAATAAATATTTTTACTCCTAAGATTTAATTTATAATCACAAAATTAAATTAATGACATGTCTGTTAACTATCGGGCCCCCCTATTGCGTCGGTCCAAGGACCTCCTCTGTTGAACTTCGTTTAATACTTCTACATTCATTACTGCGGCGTAAGTTCCATAGGGACTGACAGGACCATGTCCGGGGGCCCCCGAGGATCTGGGTGCCCCTGAATAAAAGTAAATTTCAGTGTTAATTAAGAATTTCTTACCTACAAAAATGTCGTGATCAAATAAACAAATTATTTACTGAGAGTTTCTTTAACAAGTTATTGTATATACTCCTAGTTACTATTGCTTAATAATGCGATCTCTTGCGGCAATCGCTAGCAATAATTTCGATGAAGGCTGTGTCTTTCATGAACCATTGACGAATGTTTAAAAATGAGTGAGAAATAGTAAAAGTTAATATTAAATCAAAAGGAAGAGTCGCTGCGTTCCGTGTTCTATAAATTCGCAGTCTAATAAAACTTCAAAAATAACACGTTACAATTAAAAATTTACGAAGTAAAATGGCACGAGACCGTCTGAGTAATTTATGAAATTTATCCGTCGAGCTCAAAATTTGATGTGGTTGAAAAGTAGTATTTCTACTGTCAGTGACTATTTTGTAAATTCAAAGAAAATACCAAAATTCAATTTTTAAATTATATAATGAAATTGCAAAAATAATTTTTGAATAGTGCATTGTAATAAATGCGTTCACTCATAAAATTTAGTTTATAATCACAAAATTAAATTAATGACATGTCTTTAATTAGGAGGTCCCCGTATTGTACGAGTCCAAGGGCTACCCCTATTGAACTTACGCCTACTTATTCACCATGTACTGTGCACACATTCCTATTTAAAAATCTTCGATTACCAGGGATGAATGTGTTATTAGAAAAGGGTATTCAAGCGAAAATGTAACACGAGTAAATGTGAATAGGGCCGCTGCTAATGTGAATGATATCTGGTTGAATCAGAGTAAGACTCCAAAATAAGAACTCGTTCACACATTCACGAAATAATATAAATTAATCATGCGCAAGCCTTGCTTCTTCAAAATGAAGGTTATGGTTTTGTCCATGTTTAATTTCGCCATAATTTTCGCAGAACATTAAAAAGGCTTGTAACAACTCCACGGGAGCGTGTATCATAGAGAATTGCTTTAGGCAATGCTTCCGCGTTTTATTTGCCCCCCAACAGGAACGGTGTAAAAATAATTTATGGAATACAATGGGAGAAGAAAGACTAAATAACTTGACCATTTGGTACATATAACAGGAAATTTGTAACTGCGTAGGCTCTCCCAAAATAATTGTTTTTGAAAGAAATAAAGCAAGAGAGAAATTTATGTAGAATTATTTTTTTAACATTTATTAAATATCCAACGGTATGCAATTTTTCATTACTTTTCTTTTTGTGTAAGTTTATGAGAGCTTTTTTTTACTTCTATTTCTAAGTTGAGTTTGAGGGCCCCCAAATTGTTACCGCTTTTCCACCTAATGTTGGTAACTTGAGCCATCACTGTCTAAAACGAGTGTTATGAATGCTCTCCACAATATGAACCTTTTATTACCGAACGAGTGCCACCGCCGGGGAACGAGGAACACCGCCTCTAATCTACTACGCAACTGCGCCTTTACTCGAGGTGGTGTCAATGCCCAGTTCCAATCGTCTGTCGTACATTTGTATTTAATTTTGCCCCTTCATGAAACACGATAGAGATTGCCAACTGTGTAACTGGAAGTAAAACACTCAGAAATGTTGAAATTTCATGCTAGCAACAGCTTGTAATGCCCGAAAATAGCACATGTGAGGTTGGCTGTATCTGAGTATTATCGCCCGCCCACACGACTTACTGATTTGTATTTTGTCATACCATTTGAGCTCGGGTAGTACGTGAATTTCTCCACTCGTTGAAATTAACATTGATATATTTTCTGTCATTTGACATTTCGTAAAAAACATGCCGTCAGTTCTGCTCACAGAGTCACTAGCCGTGGAACTAGGAGGTACTTGTACATTTGGGTATTGCATATAACTAGCGGTACTTGAACCCATAATAAGAGGTTATACGTCATAAAATGTGAGTGACAATAAGTTAAATCTTAAGCTCAGACTCAGAACGCATTTTATTTCGTTTCAGCTCGAGAACCGTGGCCTGTTGATGTGAAATTGTTTCAGCCTTATGATGTGGAACAAATTTTGCTTCCAGATAATGCAAATTGTTTAGCAGTTCAAGCTTATCTGAAAATGTGTGGTTTACACTTCCAAATAGAAAATAGAAGCAATGCAGAATTCATGTCACCATCAGGTACTTGAAAATACATGTATACAATAATGTAATAAATTCAATCATTATTCTCTTTTTATTAGAATTCTTGGAGTTTCAGTTGGCACTCTTCTGTTCAAGAATTTTGCATTTTGTTAGTTTGATAAACATTTAATGCCGAATTGAGTTTTATTTTGTGCTGTAACTTTTGCATTTGCCATTTAGTGCTTAATATTGTTTTCTTTTACGAAATACATCTTCAAAATAATATGAATCATTGGTTAGTGTGAGCAGTGTTACTTGTGAAAAATGTCTTTTTAAAAGGATATGCTTATGGTTTACTGAATATCAATATACAAATCAGTTTCATTCTAACCTAAACTTTTACTGAAACTGACAACAACTGGTAAGAATTCTGTCTAAGGATACTTTTGTTGAATGAGGTCCTACATATGCAATTTTATTTTAAGAATAGTTTCGTAGTTGGTTTAAATAAAGAATTTGCTTCACATTTTCAATTGATTGGGTCTGTTAAGTAATGTAATAGCTCAATTCACTTTGGTTCTATTAATCTGGGAGTGCTTGTAATTGATCTAAGAGATCTAAGCCACAGCAATTTTATGTTCCTGAATTATTGCAATGCATTAGTTGTTTGATATTTCATGTATTCCTTGTACTTTTCTGAGAACGCCTGGCCTTCTATTTTGATCCTTTCATTGAATCATTTCCAGTGAGTATGTTGAAACTAGATCACTGCACTGAGCGATATGTCAGATGCGTTGCATGCAATGGCGCCAATGCATTCTGACCTCCTTGCGTAAGCGGTACGTGTCCTGGCATTCTTTTCAGCTGTGACTGTGAGAAGTGCGACAGTAAAAGTAAACAATTGTTTTATCTAGGATCAACTATCGCTATTAATTACCAAAGAGAAAGATGATGTGCAAGGAACATCTGTAAGGAAATGCGAACCTTGCAAAACAGAAACAAGACTGACTTTCTTAATACTTTTGTGAAAACTATAAACTATGTTTGTTTAGAACATGCCAAAATCATGTGTGGTAATTGTATTTAATATTATTTTATAAGATAATAAGCTGTTAAATGATTTTTGTGTGTTCTTTGTCAATTTTTACTTTTTTGAATTGAATTGAATTGAATATGCCTTATTTTACGTGGCGAGACTCGGGCCATCAGGCCCGCTCTTCCGTCTGACCACGCAAATTTCGCTACGCTCCTTTCATATCCACTTTTCTCACCATAAGTATTTAGAGAAGATTTCTGCAGCGTAGGATTCATTAACAATGACATTGGGGGACAAGTACAAACTAAATAAAATACATAATTCAGTAAATAGAGCTTTAGACCATTTGATCCACAAACAATTGCAGCTATGTCTGAGAGATTCATTACAGGCACTTGCGCGAGTCTACCTATTGCGGGCACTCCCATGTTATGTAAGTTTTATTTAATCCATTAATAATGTATAATGTCTCCCTCTGAAAATGAATTGAAAAGCTATTGAAATTGGTAGTATCTTTTTCCATACTTCCTGTCCTAATCCCATTTCCTTCTTTATCTTTGTAGGAAAATGTTCTTATATTCATAGCTGTTATAATAATTTCTTTTCCAAGATAATTCTTGTATTTCATGATTGAATTCTTCTGACTTTTTTTTATTTTTCTTTCTGCTGTCATTCCCAGGATTCAATTTGCTCTCACTCCTTAAATGTTCATTCTGATTGTCATATTTTTTATCTCTTCACTAATAGGTACTATTTGTCTTGAATATCTTCAATTTCCATCTTAAAAGTTGAGGTTATGCTTGTCAATTTCCATTAATGTGCAGTTCAACTCATTACTTTGTTTCTATAGGATATTGAAAATTTTCACTCCAAGACTGAATATATGAACTTTCTGGTCATAAATCAATACAACAAAGCATAGACCTACTAACTGATATAATATTTTGTTTCACTTGAGTACCAATATGCATCATGTTATTGAGAGTGCTGCTTATGGCTAAACCATTTGATCTATAGCTGTATTTTCCATTGTGTTTAAATGTAAACTGTTCACTTTTATTTGGTGTGTAATTATTATCTCCCCTACGAAGTGGTAGAGAAAGTTATTAAATTGTGAAGTTGAAAAAAGTTATTAATTAGAATTAATAGTGATTGAATTTCCTATTTTATTAAAATTGATGGTGCTTAAATGTATTTGTTTTTGTGTGGCAAGAAATAATTTTATTGACAATAGTATCTTGACTAACACTGAATTAGTGTAAAGTCAAAGTGCAGAATTGTTTACATAGTCAAATCAGGGGATGATCCAGAGACAAATTTTGTGAGGGGAAATTTTTTTATTCAAAAGGTTTTGGTCAAATGTTTCATAGTACAGATCACGTAAAATGACCCGGGCTAAACTCGGCTCATATTATGATACAATTTTATTCGTATTAATGTTTAAACGAAAATACTTTTACTTGAAAGTTTCATGACAAGTTAAAATTAATAGTTACTAAAATATTTTGGGAGGGGAAATTTCCCTCCCTGTGGATCCAAGCATGATTAAATTACCATACAACTTCAGTGGTAAGAAACACCTGTAGGCATAAATTTGTGTCATTTATAGGCTGAAACTTTTTTATAAGTTGGAAATGTGATTTAATTATTTATTAACCTAATTATTTCTTTACCTAAGGTTATATAATTTTTTTTATTGTTCTTGAATTTTTGTATTACATCAAGTGTTTTCAATACCGAGATTAATTTCCTTTTCAAAGCCACCGCACTTTGAATTTTCAAAAAATGTTGGACATAGCGTATCATTGCATTTCATGTAATGCACAAAACATTTCACATGACAATCAACACCAGCATCCCCACAATGGTTAATAAAGCCATTACAAAGTACATTATGATAATGAGTCTTAGACCTTGTCGAATACTGCACAGCTCTCACTGTTCCTACCCTCCTTAACATGATCAGGATATTCACAAGAATGGGCTTTTGACAAATAACACACTTCTTAGTTATCCACAAAATGATACATAAGGAACATGGGAGCAAATTTTCACCATTCACGAATGAGTAAAGTTATTTCTGAAAGACTTATGTCTGCTGTCAGAAATCCCTTTTTCAGCAGTCATTGTCAGAAGTGCTTGGAAATAAAAACAATAACCATCCATCTCACAATCTTATTGTTTCCACTTCTGATTTTTACTTGTGGGAAGAAAAATGCCTGAAATTTATATGTTGGGACAGGACAGTATATATTGTTTCTTTCTTCTACTGTAACAGTTATCAACAATGTTGTTACTCACTTTACTTTATCACTTTAATTCACTTGTGTTGAATTTCTGGTGCTTTTTTTACTATCAGATGAATGTAAACTCAGCTGTTTAGCTAAACCTGGCTAAGTGAGATTTCAAGGGTCTGAAATTTTATACCTGCTTAACCTTTATCTGGGTTTGTGCTTGGACCTTTGCTTTTTCTAATATGTTAATGATATTTCAAGCTTGTCTGATTTCTCTGTAATTTCATATGTGGATCATTCAACATTAATAAGCAGTGGGCAAAGTCTTTTCCATGTAGAAACTAACCTTACTGAATCATTAAAATCAGTTTGAAGTTATTTGTCCATAAATTAATTGAAATTAAACATTGATAAAACTGTATTAATCAATTTCAAGTTTCATCACTGTTACCAACACCAAAACATGAAAGTGGAAGTAGTCAATGAATGAGTGAATCAAACTTATTATCATAAGTTCTTAGGAATATTAATAGATCAAATCCTAACTTATAACAAACAAGGTGACACATTTTGTAATAAAATTAACTCCAATATATTCTTCTTGAGATATATTTCCAGATACCTGGAAACAGATGCACTTATTTCAGTCTATTATGGCATAATCTTCTTACAACTTCAATATGGAATAGAAATATGGGGACGTACAACACAAAAAAATATGGATAGATTAATGGTCCTACAAAAAAAATGTATCGGATGCATTTTCAAACTGAATTCGAGACAGTATTGTGAAGATTTCTGTATTGAATATGAATTACTGACTATTGTAGCAATCTACTCTTACAAAGTATTACTACTATTGAGAAATAACTCAGTGTGATAATGAAATATGCCGCAGAACAAAATTATGGAGTTCAGTGCCCTGATGACAATAGTGAAAATCATTTTTTGCTATCACCTAAACTTTCATCTGGAAATGCAATTTTATATGCTATCGATTACATAATTTATGTTGTCACAGCTTTTAAAACATTCTGTTATTTTAGAAATATTATTGCCTAGTGTTGTGATTAGAGAGGGAAGTATGAGATAAGCACTTGGGGTAGATAAAAGGAAGTTCCACTTGCATCAGTCAATCCATAGTGATATTCCACAGTATCTGTTCTTGAAGTGTGTAAATCCGCTAACGTGAAGAATATTGTTTGGGCATGTTCTTGTGTTTCTTATATGCAACGATGTCTAGAAAGTCTGTTAATTCACCAAATCTTTTCTGTTAAGTATGTGGCCAGTTTACTATTAAGTCTGAAAGCCTTCCTTTTTATCGATCACCAAAATGGCACAAGAGTTGTATTCTAAATCAAAGGTAGATGAGGATAAGTGTTGGTCACCAGAACTGTTGCTCATATTGTTCCAGCTATTGAGCATGAAACTCACTCATCCATGCCATTTCCTGTACCAAAGTTGTGGAGGGAACCTAGAGACCACATTACAGATTGCTACTTTCGTTTAATGAAAGTAACAGAAATCTCAAGTAAATCAAAACACAGTTTTGTTAAAAAATTTGGAATCTGCAATGCGCCCAGTTCCGCATTTTGATTCTCTCTCGGTTTCAAAACCACCAACAGAATGGAAAAATGAAAAATGACACATAGTTTGTAACATTAAGCAGCCCATTAATGGGCTGCTTAAAAAATTCTGGATGATTCATAATCAGAAAGAATGGCACCTATTTATAGATTCCTCAATTAGTATTCTCAAAGCCTTTCTCTTACAAAACGGAAACACGAATCCTTTGATACTAGTGGCCCTTTCTGTTCAGTTAAATGAAAAATAAAAGAACATGAGGTTACTCCTGAAGTATACTGGCTATTCGAATAACAAATGGAAAATTTGTGGTCAGAGTTCTGAGACTTCTTCTAGGAATGCAGACTGCTTACACAAAATATTGCTATTTCTTGTGTCACTGGGATAGTAGGGCAAGGAAAGAACATTATATAGTCAAGAATGGTCTTTGAAAGAAATTTTCAATACTGGTGAAAAGAAAATGTGTTGCATGAATCCCATACTGTCTATGATGTTACCACCGTTCCATCTAAAATTGCACTTTATGAAGAATTTTGTGAAACCAATGGACAAAGATAGCCAGGGTTTTCAATTCTTACTATCTAAATTTACTGCCATTAGTGCTGAAAAAATTAATAAAGGAATTTTCATTAGGTCTCTGATAAGTGACTTGATGAAAAATATTACCTTTGAATATTTGCTGACAGATACTGATAAGACAGCTTGACCTGCATTGAAAGATGTTTGCGATAATGTCGTGGGAAACAAAATGTCTGAGAATTATTGGGAACTGTCTGAACACATGCTGGACTGTTACACTGCTCTGGGGTGCAACATGTTCCTAAAATGACTTTTCCTTCATTCCCATTTGGATTTCTTCCCACCTAATCTTAAAGATGTGAGTGACGAATGTGGTTCACTATTTCACTGAAATATTGTAGCCGTGAAAAGGCGATATAAGGGAAGAAGGTCATCAAACATTTTGGATAACTGCTGGACACTCCTGCAAGAAGTATCACCATCCACCCACAAACAGAAAGTTTCCAGGAAAAGTTTCTAACTTTGAAGTACATTTCAATCTTTATTCAACTTCCTTGAACTGTTTCTATTGTATGCTTTGTAATAAAAACAATTAATAATGAAAATAATTTAATACAAACAATTCTTGTAATACAAATTATTATTGTTTATTTATCATGAAAATTTTGAGCTAGTTTTCACAGAAAACGGTTGAGTTAACTTACTGTCATTTTAGCTAATTTTTAGACTGACTTTGCTTGATACTTTCTGTAAGAAATGAAATATTATCATTATTATTAAGATTATGATTACACTTGTCAAGAAGCAAAAGTTATTACTATTTTATTTATTTATAGCAACTTGGTATTTTTTATTGCTGTCCACTTAAAACATCCAACATTCCTTGAGATTGGAAAGTTTATTTTGAGTAAGTGAGACATCATTACATTTTCTCTTTGGGTACCAGTACTGCTGCAGATATATCGAAGTCTTTTGTAGAAAGCATTGCGAGAGATGAATAATCATTAGAAAGATCTCTTAGACATGTGTACAATCTCCAGAAGAAACAAAAAAACAAAAGAATAGCAATGTGATGTTTATGTCATCTTATAGAGTACGTTTAGCACTATCCCTACCAAAAGTGTAAAGAAAAAATTTGAAGCAGTTTTTGGAAAAATCTTGTTTTTGTAATTTTTTACAATTGCACATTATGCTCGGAATATTGGGCAAAAACTACTAAAATTTTCAAAAGAACGTGCATGACCCTAATGAAAGAACTCACTATGGGGAACTAATTTTATTTGAAGGAAAAATCTCCATCTTCTATTTCGTAGTTGTAAGATGACCAAAAAATTTGAAATTTTCCAAAATTCAGAATTAAACATGAAAATCGAACTATGCCACACCACAGTGTATTTTACTCTATTCTTTCAAGAAATTTAAAGAAAAAAATTGGAGCAGTTTTTGAGAAAATTTTGAAAATGTCTGGGGACTTTATGTAAAGTACCCTCAAATTTTAAAGATATTATTTTTCTTTCAAAATCTCAAAGCTTTGCCTCAAGCCAGATGGATAGAGGTTTCTTCAGTTTGGAAAAAGTCCTACTTATGGTTTAAGTGCTAGTAGTGTGACGGACATGACGGACTGACACAGACTGACTGACATGAAAAAACCATCACTTTTTCAATATCAGAGGACCCCAAAACGAATTTTTTATTTCTTTTGAAAACTTGAAATAGATTTTCCACAGCATTACATAATTTTCCCTATACTATGTATAATACTCTGTTTATATATGTATCTATACAGGAAGGTAAAAAAATAATAAAATCACTGCAGCATGTTTTAAGTTATTATTTAGGAAATGCATTATATCAACTAGTAAAAAAAATAAATCATTAAACAGTCTAAATTAATACAAAAAAAGGGGAAAAAAGCCATTGAACAGTCTAAATTAGTACAAAAAAAAAAAAATACTTATTTGCACAAGTGACTTCCCCCACAATAGCCTTGAAAACAAATTATCATTGTGTAACAAAACTTCCTTCTCAGAAAGAACTTTGAAATGCAAATGCTGACACCTGTTAAGTTGTAATGGAAAACAATATGAAGTTCTAATTGTATTTTTGCAACATTTTAATGTGAAAATGAGAATTATCTTATGATTCATACAGCTTGCCTGTACGGGCATGCTAGGCTGATAAAAGTTGAAGAAGTATCACATATCTAGTGTTTCACTTTTCAGGTTAGAAAAGTGGTCGTTTCACTTGTAGATGAATTTACTTATACAGATTTGAATAAGAAATTGTTTATGTTACAAACATGAATGAAATGCAATACTTTTACAAGAAACTTTATTTAAAAACAAAGCATTTTATTATTAATGTAAACTGGAAATTAAAAGTTAATATTAAAAAAAGGTGTTTGAAAAAAAGTTTTATGTTTTTGGCACATGAAATACTTTACTAGTAAGTTAGTGTGTCTTGCTTTAATTATTCACTGGACCTTTAATTCACTTGTTAGCACCAAATTTAACTTTCCCTTCAACATTTGTGACATGCATATAACTGATAGTTCTTTGTATGCATCATGTCAACTAGTCTTCAACAGAATTTTTGGTTCATACCTGTAGAAATGAATTGAACATTGAAAGATAAATAATTTTGGAAAGTGCTATTTTTTAGAGAAACCCGAAAAGGTCAGTTCCTCTGTTAGCAAACACCATGAAAAATCTGGCTGACATGGCAATCCCATTTAAAAAGGTTTTACGTTCTCATAAATAGACGTTTGTTCATATAGAAAAGTCTTATTAGTCTTACTATTAGAAGTTTCCCATTTATCCAGGTTTGCAATTTCTATGTTAGTGTTTACAATTTTCCTGTTTTCAGGTCGAGTGCCTTTCATAAAATGTGGAGCATTTGTGGTATCAGAATTAGATCCTATCATAGCATTTGTAGGAACTAAAGTAAGTATTACAATTCTCATGTAGATTTTCTGGTATTTGTAATACCTAATAATACTGTATTATCATTATAATCTTTTATTTTCATAGAACAAACATTCAAAGTTTTTCTAATTTGAATAAAAAACTGATTAGAAACTAGTAGACAAATGATAAAATTTGATGATTATGTACAGCTATATAATTTTGAAAATGTCATTCTTATTTAATATTTTGTTAAATTGTTTTAGTAAATATTTTGAAAAAAATTAAAGTTGTATTGTTAGTTGTCCTTCTAATTTATTTTTCTTTCTTTTATGGGGAACGGTTTTGAGATATAAATAATTTTGAACATAAAAAAATACTGGGTACCATTTTGCCTTGTCATGGTTATTATTAAAAAGCAGAGTTAATGTAATACTTCTGTATAAAACCATTAAATTAATATTTGTGCTTATTTTTTGTTTTAGGGTGTGAGCCTTACAAATGACCTCGACAATACTCAGAAAGCTGATATGCGAGCGTACATGTCTCTTATTAATACAGTTCTTGTTAATGCGGAAGTAAGTATCGTACTTTCTCTTCATGGTTTGTCACTTTTAACTAGATGTCTCTTGATATTTTATTACAGTATTTTTGTTTGTTTCATTTTCTTTCCATGAATACATTTTTTTAAGAATTTCAAATAAATTAACATTTTGTTTCCTGAGTACTTCAGTGCAAGTGTCCCAGAATAGAAAAGGACTCGCAGTGATCATTAAAATATTTATAATTGACAAAATTGTTTCAACTAATGAAAACAAATATTTTTTTTATTTGCTTTCATGTCAAAGGATCATATTCAAAGCAAAACTACAATATTTACGAAATACTATTTTGAATGGAGTTTTATTCCATGTAGAGGAATCCCTGGAGTCCCAAGAGATTTTGGGCGATCTGTAGCAAACTAGTTAACGTTGATAAACAGTTAAAAACTGTGAGTGATGTACTAGGGAGAGAAGTGTCTCTGCACATTTTCTCAAGCCCTGGATCCCTACCCTCTCCCACATGTTAAGTTACAGATTGCATCAAACACTCACAGTATTGTCAAACAGAAGAAACTTTGTCACTATTGACGTTCGAAACCGCCTGAAACCTCTGGACCTGCAGCAAATACTTGTTTGTGAACTAGAACTAGTTGCAGGTCAGATCACAACTTGCATCATCTGTCTTGTCTTCAGAATTCAAATTTGATTTGCAAGCAGCAAGCAGGGCTAAATTAAGTGCCCCAAAGCATGACCAAACTACATGACCCCCTAATAATATTGAAATATTGAGCACAAAAGTAAATGAAAATAAACCATACCCTTTCCTATTTTCTTAGATTTAGGTTTAGACTTATTTAGTCAAAAAACAGTGAAAACTGTATGTGACGTATGGGGGAGAAGATTATCTGCACACATTTTCTTAAGTTCCAGAATCCCTTCCCATCGTTTTAACTATAAATAGTTAAAAGATGAGTAAAAGTTTAAAATAAATAAATAAAAATAAAATTTAAAAAAGCGTGAGATTAGCAATATTAAAAAAAAAATAGACATTTTCGTTCCCATGTTATACAAAACTTATTTGCATTGGTAAACGAATTGCAAATATGATTTTTTTGTATTGCTAACAAAATAGTAATTCGCCCTAACCTCTACTCTTACCATTACAAGCAAAAGGAGAGTTCAACATAACGTGCAAACAATTATTCAACCCTATCCAGGAAGGACTTATGCATGTGTTAATACATGTTATAGAGTGTGTCCAGACTGAACCGGTTCAATAGACATTATCGTATGGACCAGCTGATGACAAACAAAATGTATAAAATGTTTATGCAAAATATTCATTACGCAGGAAACTTTTCTTCCAAGATATAGTGTACACATTATTTGTCCAGCATTGTACTGTGCTCGGACACAAGTAGCTAATCGTGTATTTAATGGTGTGATTCTCGCTAATTCCTGTGTGCTATGACACACCGATTGTGGGGGTAGGGGGGCAGAGCTTTTACCCAAGATACGTTTCATTGCTTAGAGCAGTGGCAGTCGTAGTGGCGCACAAGTTTGCAAAAGTTGTCAGACATGTGTTCTCTTTTGATTCTTAATTATGACACAATGTAAAAGTGCAGGGTGCCACCAAATGTGATCAGGCTTATCTTGAGACACCATTAAAGATGGTGAAAAGTATAATTTTGTACCATTATTGGACCCAGGTCCAATCTTTTTAGAGTGCAGTTTGAACAAGTGAAGTATAAAGTTGCTCAGGTGATATAAAAATGGTAATTTCAAGCAAATTTTGGAAAAGTGTCCCACGAAACCATCTCATATTTTGATGCAATTTTGTATACGTAGTCCCACATGTCTCAGGAGCTTCTGTGGAGTTGAAGCTTTATAGGTGAAATAGTTTTTGAGATATAGCGGTTTGTTTGACGCCGAGCAGTATGACCGAAACAGTCAGATTTTCGCAAAATTTTGGGAACTTCCTTCTCCATTGCATCCAAACAAATAAAACGGTCTACTTGTACAACTTTTTTCTGTCTCCTTAAATGGAACTACTAATAATTTTCCTTTTATTAATACATAATAGATACATTGTAGTAAAATCAATTTCTACCTTTCTTGGTTCAGCACCGAAGTCCCTTTATTTATTGGTAGTAGTGCAGATACAATTTATAAATCTTTATTCATCACTGAATGAAAAAGATTTTTGTGTGTGTATGTATCGGTGGGTGGGTGGGGGGCTCATTTTCGAATCCGCGAGGTGCCTTGGAGGTTCTAAAAACGTCCCTGGGTACAGACACCAGATGATGAGAAGACTAACATTTCCGTGCCGCACAGACGACTAAAATGCTTCTAATTTCCGAAGGTTTAAAATTTTCAAGCGGAGTTAGGCGTAACAGGCGGTGGATGTCTGTCTCTTGCGAAATGTTTTTTGCGCGAGTTTAGAGGAAGGTTTTTACAAGTGCATTTGTAAAAATTGTGTAACTTCTAATCTAACATGCCGAATTTTAAAATATCTGGTGATGTTTGCGGTCGTCATAACTCGTTTTAATTTGATACTGGTAAATCTGACCATCGGTAGTCGGGCTAGAACAGCCGCACAACCAAATGAAATCGCCTAATATTTTTTTGCTAATTGCCACTATTTTCGTCGAGAAAACTGATGTGAGCTTGCTTGACTCTACGCTAGAACACTCGTAAGTTAAATTCGAACCATAACTTGACGCAATCCGTCTAACATTTTATTGCTTGTTAATTTCCACAATTTAGAATAAATTGCCATGTACTTTGTAAAAAAAACAAACATGTGTGAGTTGGCTTGACGCGACGCCAGCACACACGGGTTAAATTGTATCTGTAACTCCACAAACTAATAGACCCCAATTAACAATTTATTGCCGATTAATTTGGTAATTGGTTTCCACAATTTAAAATTCGTTGCCACGCATTTTCGCCGAGAAAACGGTCTGGAGCTAGCTTGATGCAAGTGCTTGATGTACCCAATAAGTTCAATTATATCCATATGTCGACGGAATCGGTCTGATAATGCTAATTAATTGCCAGGTTTTTGTTGAGAAATCTGGTATGAGCTGGCTTGTTGCGACGACAGCGCATAAGTTAAAATCGATCCGTATCTCGACGAAAACTGTCATATAATTTTGTTACAAATCAATTGCCTCAATTACTTCGTTGAGAAAACAAGTGAGCAAGCTTGACGCGATGCCAGTACACAGCATGAGTAAATTCGATCCGTATCTCGACGGAAACTCGTACTTAACTTCTCTGTGCTAGCGATGCCTGAAGCCAGCTCACTCCCGTTTTTTCAACGATAATACGTGGCAACAAATTCTAATTTTTGGCAGATAACTAGCAATTAATTATGCGACGGTTTCCAACAATCGACTTTAACGTATGTGACTGCTGGCGACGCGTTAAGCCAGCTCACACCCGTATTCTCAGCAAAAATAATGTGGCAATAAATTCGAAATGGTTGCAGTAATAAATTATTAGACACCCTGTTAAGCTGAGGATTGAGTTTGACGTGTATTTTTACCAATTAATTAGCTATAAATAGGCGCGTATCCAAGAGGAAAATTTGCCTCCCCCCCCAAAAAAAACCGTAACCATTAATTTTAACTTGTCACGAAACTTCCAAGCAATATTTTCGGATAATCATTCAAACGAATAAAATCGTATCGCGGAATGAGCTGAGTTTAGCCCGCGTCATTCTACATAATCTGCAATACGACACATTCGACCAAAACATTTTTAATAAAAAAATCTTAATTTGTCGAGCACACGCCACTCTGTGGGGCATTTATATAGTATTCCTTGGATAAGGAAATATAACTAGGTGGTAGAATTTGATGACTGAATTGACCTAAAACATCGCCAAAAATGATCAATAAAAAACTTAAAATGTTTTTAAAATACCCTAAAAGCAAAGAAAAATGAAGTAAAATGTTTTATCAAAACAAATTCAGATGCGTAACTCAAGCAGATGGATATGTTGCGGATGTAATCGCAGTGGCGGTTCGAGGGGGGCATGCCCCCCCCCTCCACAGAAGAGGCCTAGAGAAAAAAATGTTATATGGTGGAAAATGGAAGAATAAAAATGAGAAACACTAGAAAAATTGTAGAAGCGTCAAAAATCTATCGATAAACCAACCGCGCGTTCTGTCCTTAGCCTTTTAGTTTACGAATGGGAATCCTGATTCTCGATGTATTTTAGCTCAGTGGTACGTATGGAAAATGACTTCGACTGTTCTCCAGATATGTGTGACAGCTCATATCCGTCTTATTCCGCTTGACGAGCGCTGCTACGGCGACATCCACATATTGGAGGGTGGCCGACTCGCTCGGGTGTGAGCTGTGATCGTGGACCGCTGTGACATTTCGCGCAATTAGTGTGCCCGAAACAAGAATAGGGTATGGATCGCTTACGTGCGCTTGGAGTCGGCGCGGTAATCAGTTGCGGATCAAGGGGGCGGGGCGGCTCCCCCCCCCCCAACAAAAGGCCTGGAGTTTTCGTTTGTTACCTTCTATTTGGCAAAGTTGATTGAAATATTTATATTAGAATTATGTAATTATATAAAAAAATAATATTGTATAGTACCATATATACAATACTAAAATAATATACAATATAATAGCAAATGTTTATTATTTAACAAACAAATCTACGATGCCCCCCTACAAAATGATCGGCTGGATCAGTCTCTGGCGATAATAAGTACTCAAGAAAGGAAAGGAATTATCTAAAATGAATAAGAAGGAAAGAGAAAGAAATCTAATAAAAGATATATAGAAGAGGCTCAACATGTATTTTGTTCAATCCTGTCGATTTTTTTTTCAGTCTAGGCAATAATGTTTGTATGTAAGTGAATGTTTAATTTGTAAATTGATAGTATGCATTTTTATTTTAAATTAATCTGTGCACATCTGTACCATAGAATGGAAAATTTAATACCCTAATCCATCATTTTGCAGCTTTAAATTCAACGATTTTAATAATAAATTATTACTATTACTTTCTTGATAACCGCTTACACAGTAGATAGTTTTTTTCTGGCAGAAAAACTCTTATTGCCGGGCCCTGATAACAAAAGAGCGGATAAATCCAGTTACTAAAGGCTGTAGTAGGATAAGGGGGTAAATGCCCCCAAGATTAATTCAATTTTGAACAGAGTTTTTTAGTGTTATTTTGAAAGTAATTTTCTCAAAATCCCAGAATGGAAGCCTGATCATTTTGTAAGATATAAGATAAAATACGAATTTTCAGCATTTGATTTTTTTTATTCCATTACTCGGATATAAAATTCTGAAAAAATTGAGAGACATAGTTGACACACACACACACACGCACGTATCTTGGAAAACTTTTTCTACATTTTATATCGGGGTGACAACTTCAAAACATTCATGCAAATCGGTATTAAGGTGTACTTTACTACTGATTTTTATTTTTTTCAGATTTTTCTTATTTGTGTGTCATATTGATAAAAATTAATAACACTGGTTTTCATCATTTATACACATAACTCATAATAAGTTAATAACTTTTCTATGAAAAATACTTCTCAGGATGAAAACCACATAATTTTACCATACAAAAATATTGCACCTGATTTTTTGGTGCCAAATTCAAATTTTTCAAAATTAAAATATTGTAAAACAATCATTTTTGTCGTATTTTGTGACCTCTTTTTGAAACTTAGTGATGTATTTGCTACCATCATGAAACAGCACATGGATTTGCATGTATTGAAAATGAGGGCTAGAAAAAAACAAAGAAGTAAAGAATTGTCCCATATTTCTTCAGAATATATCTGAAATACTAGGAGAGACATTTAAAAAATTTTGGTGTAGAAATATACGAAAAAAAGAGCTTGAGAATGGGGAGAATACACAAGGAGTCGAAATGATGCTGCCCATGCATTCTAGGTAAATTCTATAATTTTTCATGAAATATATTTTTTACATGTTTCAATTTTTGACCTACTGTAAATAAATGAAAATGATTGAAAGTTACAAAATTACAAAATTCTATCTTCAAAAACAAAGAAGTTACAGGGACATGAAGATCGCTCAGAGTTGAAATGAAATGTATGTAAAGTCAACTTGTTTTTAATTTAATGTATACTTTTTCTATGCATTCCTACATTTATTGATCTTGAAAGAAACTGTTTTAGGCGCCTGAAACAGGAGAGCCTAAAAATTTAAAGTAATGTTGTTATCCTGTAGAATGCTTTTTTATTTATTAAAAGTTTCTTTTGGTTCTGAGTGTAGTGATGCTGAATGCATGAATCATGAATCACATGGCTACTATTTCACGTTGTTGCAGCTCTATGTGACATGGTGTGATCCAACTACCTTAAACGAAGTAACAAAACCACGATATGGATCTGTTTTTCCTTGGCCACTGAATCATATACAATGTTGGCAGAAGAGAACGCAAGTTCTCAAAAAGCTGTCAATTCTTGGATGGGCCCAAAAATCCCTAGATGAGGTAATTACTAGAGAAGTGACTGTAAATTACTATAAATTTTATAATTGATTGTTGAGAGAGTTAATGTAAGATTGAACTGCTGACACATTTGTTTATTTATATAATATTTTTTAAATGATTTTATCAGTAAACAAATTGGTGCACTTTTAGGTTTACAGTGAGATAGAATCTTGTTGCAATGCATTATCTCAACGACTTGAAGATCAAAAGTATTTTTTTGGTGATCGGTAAGTAGTATAAACTTTTATGTATTTAGTGTGTTGAAAATTCATGATGAAAATAAATATATATCGGTCTTACAAATATAATTTCCATGAAAATCTCCCATATGAACACACACATCATGGTAATGAGTTTGCGTTATTTCAATAAATTATTTGGTACCAGTAACAACTTTTAATCAAATTTTAATCTAGTTTCAATCAAATGACCGTCATTAGAATTTATTTTTATATAACACAAGATCATTTATCTTGCAATAATGTTTTCTCTTAAGTTAATGTTTATTTTCTTCATAAAATATCTGTGTTAATGTAATTTTTATCTTCTTCAGGCCTACTGAATTAGATGGCCTGGTTTTTGGCCATCTTTTTACTATATTGACCACTCCTCTACCTAACAACAGATTTGCAGGAATCGTCAGAGGTTACTCCAACTTAATTGAGCTGTGCAAGACTGTTGAAAGAATGTATTTTGATCGCAGTGTACCAGAGCCAAGTACATAAATATTCATGCCTGCCTGTAGTATATGCAATAGCATTACGCAGTGACCAGAAGTTTGCATTTTTAACTTCCTTTTTTTTTAGTAACACTTGGTAACTGCATAAGGAAGGAACTTCTTTCCAAAAGTGTTTTTGAGTGACTGTCTTTCTTAGTGACTAAATGTGTTGTACAGTTTGATTTTTGGATACGTGCTATAAAATTGCTTGTGCTAGTACAGTGCAATATAGCTCTCCCTAGAAAAGACAGCCACCCTTATGCTTTCAAGGTAGCTAAATAAATCATGTGTCTGTGTATATACATGTATATATATGGGGGTGTTTTTATACGCTCGCATACACACATACGTACATATACATACATGTTACAAAAGAGGTTTTAAAAGTATATTTTTCAACATATCTAATTTTGAATAATGACTTTTTGCTAGAAGTGCTGAAACAAGGTGCATTTTAATATGTGAGCAAAACATCAGTGTACTTTCTTATTTCTCCATTGATGGTTTTGCTATGGCTATGATTATCTACTTCATTTGGTGGATAAACTTGGAAAAACACACACACATACACAAGTTACTAGGGCTAGAAGTGGTGTCCGATGGAGTATATTGGCAATAAAATATCTTTACTGTTACTAAAAAATCCCAATTACAAGCATAACTCTTTGACTTGAAGAGGTATTATATATAGCTCATAGAATTTTTATCAGGAACAATATTGTTAAAAAGTTTAATAACAAAGTATGCTCAATATGATTTGGTTGATGATCTGATCATCCAACAGACCATGATCAATTATTGTAGTCTTGTTTGGCAAAATAATGTAATGGGAACTGTGTTTTCAGCTCATTTGTGAGGCATATGACATACTTAATGTATCTTCAGACAAATTTGTTTGTATTGCTGAACACTGAAATACCTGAACACTTGACAAAGAATCCATTGTCTAACCTCAAATTGGATTCCTTGGCTCTATTTGATGAGCGAAAGTGAAACATAATAAGTCTGTCATAGATATGCAATCTTTAGTCATTCCTCAACTCCCTTAATGTGGATCTGGTGGACAATGTTTGGAGAATTAATTTTGCAGAGGCACTAGTTGGGAGTCTCTCTTGTTCTACAATCAGAATGTAGTGGGTTACCATGCTGTGCTTTCTCATGGACACTCTTAACCATTGTTGAATTTTCTTAGTGAAGCTTTTGCCCATGAGCTTCAACTGAAATCATCCAATTCAGATCCACTTGTGTGGGAATCAGCATTTAGCTAGCAAGAGCTTTGGCTAGTACCGTTCTCCTACTCTTGTGGAGAGGTCTACTGCTGTGATTAACAGTTATGTCAAAAGATTAGGTGAGCTGGAACTAGATAGCATTGCAGCTACAATTTGCTGTTGGTGATGTATTTGTGATGAGCAGTGCTTTTCCTGAGAAGCACAAGGAAGTGACATTTCTAAATCTTTTGTACATCTAGCTTTTTGTTTTATGTTGATATTTTATAGAAATTTTTACTTGTGCATGAATTCCCCAATGATGTCTTTTGTGAATACATAGTTATTGCATTGTGATCATATGGTTATGAATGGTGTGCCTGTGAGTTGGTCTTTGCATTCTTGAACAATGAAAGTAATTTAGTACCGACAGGCAATATTTCAAAACTCCCAGTTGTTCCTTTCTATAAGTCAAATTATTCTAGCTTTCATTTGATTAAAAAGCAGATGCTTTCCATACATTTGTATTGACAAAACACTGGTTAAATGTTCACAGTGAGTGCATTAAATTGAAATTATTATTAATGCATATTATAACAGCTTTTCTCAGGCATTTTTGGGATGAAATATTTACTACAAATATTTTATTTTACATTTTCTATTATTCTGATAATCCCACCAATGAAATGCATATAGTATCTGAAGGGGCTGTCAACTTGTCATAACATCTCATCTCAGATACTTGTCAGAGATTTTCGTGTGAATCTGTATAGAATGAGTATGGGGGATCAACCCATCGCTGTCCTAAGGATGGTAATAAGGATGTGATGGAGAAGGAAGGATCGCATGAGCTCCATATCCGATTGCTCGTGATACTGATTTGTCATCCACCTGGAGTCATTCAGGAGAAATAACGAAAATGACCTATCTAAGCAGCCAACCTCCAGAAATCTCATCAAGGTAGTGGTTTGCATCAATCCAGTTCTTTAGATGGTGTCAAAATCCTTCCAGGGCTTTAGCCAAGGATCTTTTGATCTATGAAGCTTCAGTTACACACTTGCATCTACAATTGAAGGTGGTAACTAAAATTTTTGTCACTATTGTAGTGGGATTTGTATGCGGGTTTTGCAACCTTGCATACTATATCACTATGCTAAGTGCATCTATAATGAATGTGTAAATGAGGCCTCCATTAATTTCTTAATTATATTTCGTCCTTTGTCAAAAACCAGTCTGGTCATAAAGGAAATTATTAATGTGGGATTGTAAATAAAGTCTAAAGAAAAATAAGATCTAGATTATGTGTTTGGCTTCATGTATGCCTGATCAGAATATTGGATGTGATCTCACCTTCGGTCCAAAATTTTAATTTAAAACAAAATTATTGGATGATATATTATTAATGAATAATATGCAATTACACTGATAAAGCTAAACATTCCATAGTTGAAGTTCATTTATGTAAGATATACAAATACATAGCACACGACACTTCTCATGAAATGATAAATATGAAAATATTACTTCATTAAATAAAATGGAAGTAGGCAAAAGAGAAAAGGTTGTTTTTCAGTAAAAAATACGTTTTTATGCAAATTATGTGTGTTCTGTGCAGAACACTTGAGCAGATAATTCAATGACTTGCTGATGTTCAGTAATTTGCAGTAATTGGGCTGCAAATTGTTACTTATAATGCTTTTATAAAGCAACTGAAGATGCTCTGCTCAACAGCACCTTGTTTCAGAAATACCAGTCAAACACAAGAATTGATGCAAAAGCATGTTTCAGAGCAGTATTATTAAATTTCACAAGAAAAACAATACCTACTGCCACATGCCAGTGCCTAGCAAAGACAATGTTGTGAGTCTGTTCTGTAGTTGAAATTTTATCGGATGTTCATTAAAATGTTATGATTGGTTGACTATTGTTTATTATTCAATTATAGTAATCTTTAATTTCCTCATTAATTAAAAATCCTGTTCCTTGTAGTTTTATTGATTAATTCAATAGAAAGTGTACAAGTATAGAAAAAAGTGAGTAAAGTTTTTATGTTCTTACCTACTATGTATATATGAAGTACAGAGAAAGTATTGTAATGCTGTAGCTTTTGACAGAAAAGTCTGTTATTGACCCCTAATGTGGAAAAAGTGGATCATTCTTGCTACTATATGTAGAACAATTACTTCTAATATGTTGTCTAATCTGAATCCTCATTATGTGGGTTTTTGACACATTAATTTACGGCAAAATGTCTTTCTGTACAACGTTAATGTCTAAACGATTCAGACCATTTTCTCCAGAATTGGTATTTATTCGACCGATGAAGCCGAACTCAGGACTTCGAAATTGATACGGATATTTTGATTTTAGGGGCACTTAATGCCTCGTCAACATTTTAAAAATATTCTCATGGGCTCTAAAATGTTTCTTTGGTGTTTTCTCGATAGAGCAAAATAGGAATAAAATGGTGTCTTACTACAACTACAATATTGAAGTTATTTATTCCTAATGTAATCTGTTTTCAGAATTAGATCTTTAAATAATCTGTTGTAAATGTTTTTGAAAATTTGATTCATTTAGTCAACAGTAAAAACTGCGTGGCCTACGAGAGTGTGTCTCTGGTTGGCCACATAAAAACTGTATGTGACATTTGGGAGAGAAGTACCATCTGCGCATGTTTTCTTGAGCTCCAGAATCCCTTTCCAACATTTTAACTATAAATAGTTGAAAGATGAATAAACATTGAAAATAAAATAAAGAAAAATTAAAGAAATATTAAATAATTGTGTGTTTTTTTACGAGGGCAGGGAAAAATCTTCCAAAGACTGCGGGGCCCACACGCCGCAGGGTGTGGGATACAGAGCTAGCCTGTGTCTACCCCACACATTAACGTCTCTATCCTCCGATTCCCTTCCCACGGAACCGCCGTTAGGCGTTGCATCAGGGAAGTGCAGAGCGGCTTATCGCTCGAAGCCAACTGACGTTACGAGATACTTCTTCGCAGTCGTTCTTCTACCCGAAGCTTTTTCAAAACTTGCGGCATTGGTGGCCACTGCACTCCAATTCTTTTGAGGCACCAGCATCCTAGTGGCTATGGTATCAGGAGTCACTACCTGCAGGAGGAGTCGGAGTTCTTCCCCTCTCCTCAATGCAGAAAATAGTATCTCCTGATAGAAAGAAACGTTTGCGTTGAAATTTGAATTTTGAAGTTTTCACTTCGTGGTGTTAATATATTTTGTTTTATCTCTGTATTGATAAAATCGATCATTGTGAAGACATTTGACTTATCACATATAGAGAACTTCTGATATAGTGAACCAGAAATGTAACTGTAATTGCATTGAGATTGTTAAAGTGATGGAAAGACGTAATAATAAATACATAAAAAGTAATAAAAAAAATAAAATACGTATCGTATGTTGGTAATGCGCCTTTTCGATTCAGTGCCATAGAATATAATTTAGAAATTCAAATTTCCCTTCAAATGCTTTAGTTCGCGTCAAATTGTAAGCCAGGCAACACTGATATATAACGTCACGCTTATGGGAATTTAACATTGTGAAACACGAGCCATTCTTGAATCATATGCATCGACATTACGAGCACTCCGTTATTCTCTGTGCGGTTTAGTAACGCAACGATACATAGAAAGCGCCACAACTCTAAGCACGGCCTTAGGGAATCGGAGGTGAATACAATTTTCCGTCTTCATTTAAATATTAGGGTTGTTGAATATGTAGAAGTTCAGTCAATTTTTAACTGTATGGCCACTAAGTATAGTTTGGGAATTTATTTTGAAAGTTATAAGGTTCATTGATTCAACATATGCATGCGAAGAGTGCGGTTTTTTGCCGTGAAAAAAAAATTCTGTTGCATCTCGGGATGTGATGGCGTGCGATTCTTGCAGTGCCTATCTTCGAAATGATTTTGTGTCGTTACGCATATGAGTTTGGGTGAGAATTTGAACCACAATGTTTTGTAGTGGGTTTTTTAAAACTGTCGGTCCTGCTACTTGTGAACTGGGGACGACTTATCTTCTTCCACGAGAAAGTAAGAATATCTTCCAATTTTTTGCGATTTTTACCTTTATATTTGAATTTTGGTATATAAATTGTCTTTAATTATTATCTTTTTATCATTCAAAGGATTTGAATTTTTTGACAATCGCCTGTTCTGTTGTTTGAGTTTTTAAACTGACATCTCGAAAAAACAATTTTACCGATTATTATCTGCTAACTGCTAATAACGTTTCGGAGGTGCATTCTTTTTTCCATCTTCAGATTCTAACCATACAAAAAACTTATATCAGAATAATATATAATCAAATATTACACTAAGAACGATTACAAACTTTCCAGCTAAATTGAATGGTACACATACATACCGACTACATTTTTATAAAATATTTGCACTGAATAACACATTCACAAATATATGCAATAAAAGACACTTAAAGCAAATGCCAGATTGCGAATAAGACCTTAAGTAAACATACCTTACAAGCCCAAAGGCCGCTTCGTATGAACCCCGTTTTGATTACGCGGCTTTCATGATAAAAATATGTTTTAAATTTTATATTTAGTAAAGATTAGGAGTGTTCAATATTTATTTCTCAGGTATTAGAGGGAATTCACTGTAAAATGTAATACAATTTCTTTCAGTTCACTCCCTTTTGAAGACAAACAGGAAATAAAGGGACCTGGAAGGCGTACTTCTAGTTCTCAAAATTGTAAAATCAGAAAAAGTGCATGTACGCAAAAATTCAAGTATGCTTTTCTTTATAGTAAATGCAGGTGGTAATGCGGGTGTGATTCGAAAGCAGATTTGTTTTGCTTTTCCGATATTTCATTAGGAAGTTACAATACGTGGCGATGACTGGCTTTAAAGCATAAAGAGTCTCATATTTTATTTATATTTAAAGAATTTAAACAACATAATAGAAAGCTCGAAGAAACTTGAAACTTCTGGAACCCACATAAAGGCAGTTTATATTAGTATTAGTAGGAACTTCCAGTATAACAGAATACTATATAAATTGCATTTGTTCAAATTACAATCTCGTCATTTGATGGAGATGCAATCCAATCTTTGAGAACCACCAGCCGCCACTGCGTGAGATTTGATTCGTGCTTCTGCATCCATCCTGGCCCGCGGTTTGGACATGACTCGTTGGAGTCGCAGCAGGCTCTAATGGACACCCAGCAGTTAGTGTTGCATGTTTCGGCATCCAAATAGCCGAAATTAGAAGGCAGTTTACAAGAGGAACTCTTCCTCTCACCCATAAGGTTCGCAACAAATTACACCGAAAAATGTGGAAAATCAAAACACACTTCAAAGAATTTCTCGCTGGGGTGGTCGGCGAGCGAGTTTTCTCGAACACATTTCTGCCGTTTTACTTTTTACCTCGCAGCCGCAGGTGCTAAATAGTTAGTAAATACTGAACATAACAGACTGGGTGAGGTTGTAAGATTGAGTTGTAGGAGGAGTGATAACGAACAAGTTTATTATTTTTTTCTTTGAACGGAAATGAACTATAAAAAAAATCGTGCTGGAAATTGTCCAGACTTGTAAGACACCAGTGTGTAATGAATATGAAAATAAAAAATTGAAAGAAGAAACTTCAAGGAATGAGATTAATTCATTATTTTTTAATTCGTTTCTTCTGTATGAAAAATTTATTACTTGTGAATTCGTTTATAAATTATTTCATCATTCACCTAATTCATATTTCAACTAGTTACAGAGATACCGGCGATCAAGAAAACTTGCACAAATTGTATTTCTCCCCTATACGTTATATACAGTTTTTAACTTCTTATTTACGTGAAATAAATACTTACATACAATCAGTGGCGGCTGGTATATTTAATTATGGGGGGGGGGCTGCATGCAAAAATAGAATGAATTGAGATATGTTCAGTGTCGGTGTAGGTCTACCGCGAGCATTTATATCGCACTTCTTGAAGTGTTAAGCTTCTAAATTTCAGTTTTTAAATATTGAACCGAATTACTAACTTTCATAACTTTCTCTCTACTCCGTAGCGAGAAAGTTAAAAAACATCAGAAAAATGCAATATACAACACCTTATCTATATCATATTTCAAAGCTTTAAAAATCATGTAAACGTCGCATAAAACTGAGGAAGATACTGTCTCTCTAGCAGCCCCTAGAGTCCCAGTCTTGAGACACATAAACAATGGGGGAAGCGAAATCAACTACGCCCATACTTCGCTGCAAGCACCAATCCCTCAGAAGAGCACGGCAGAAGCTTTTCGCAAGAAGCACACGCACCAGTAATGGGCTATATTAGTAATGTAATTGAATGTAATACTATTTCGCATATTTTATTGTAATATCAAAGAGAATATAAATAATTCTGACAAGGACTGGGAGACTGCAGCCCACCCCCATCAGCCTTCACTGCATACATTGCAATCTTGTATCATTTCTGGCAATTCGAACTCGCAATACAAAGGATTTAGGTGACAAAAACAAGGATTTCACTGGTTAAAATTAAACGCGATACAATAAAAACTTCAACTCGCAGCTGATCTCGTAGCTAACTCAACCGTCAAGAACCTAGATTTTTGTCCCATGAAGGCACTACGAGATATCGAATGATCTATTTCTAGAATGCGGACACTGTCTCACCAGCCTCTCCACATTTCCCGCAACAATGATGACAGGACTCTATGTGACACGCATCTCTCAATGTAATTTATCGCATTAAAATATTTCCTCTTCTGGCCGCTGTGTAATATGGTGGACTACTACTATACAAGAGAAGTAAACGCTGAAAATTTCCTCCGAAAAGCATACTAGTAGGTCAGCACCGGATCTCACCAACTACTGTGGGAGAAACATCACAACTCCGCAATAAAACATTCACTATACCAACACGACAAATGACTAAAAAGCTCAAACTGAGGTTCGCGTTCCACTAGGGAACCGCGAAACGATTTCACTGGCCTACAAACAAACTTGTTTTCTGTAACATGAAAAAACTACACTGTGGAATGTTAATTTGCTTCTCAATCCAGATCCAATTTAAGAATTTCAGTATCGGCCTAGGTTTTTATGCGATGACGATTATAGTAATTGCGTACGTCTCACTATATATTATACATTTGGATAAAGTACACACTCTAATAACAACAGTTTCACATATATACAAAAATACAGAAATTATACAATACGAAAAGTGAGGACAAGGCTTGGAATGTTAACGAAGGCGCTGCTTGGAAGACAAAAACGAAAGACGAAGACAAAGGACGAAGACGAAAAACAAAGACGAAAGGCAAAGACGAAACACAAAGTCGAACGATGAAACGAAAGACAAAGGCGAAACACAGATACCAAAAAGGAGGACGAAACACGAAAAC